GCACAGACTTTTGTTGACTTAGAAATAGCTTGAACTTTATTGAACATTTGTGTTTAGAATTTTCAACTCTAAAATGTAGATTTAGTTTACATAATTTCGAATTTCTTAAAGCTGTTTTATTTGTATTGTATAACAATTTAATATTATTTTACAGCTTTTCTAATGTTTATTACTCTCAAAAATTCAAGTTGGGGAGAATGTTATAAAGTTAGAAGTTGTAATCTTGTTGTACCATCTACTGATTTAAGAAATGAGAAAGAGGTAAGTAATGTTGTTTAGTTGTTACAGGATGGCAACAAAGCTGTTGTTCGAAAGATGATACGACTGAATTTATTCTAGCATTTTGGATATTGCATACAGTGAAATGTGACAAACTTCTTAACAATGCGCTGAAGAATATTAAAATATTATTTAAAGTGAAGATATTTCAACATGTCAGATTTTTAGCAAGGCACTCATGGATTAAATTAATGACAATGTTTTTATCAATGCTCTCCTAACATAAATTTTACAATTATTCAAATTATAATAAGCAATATATTTCAAAAAATACAAAATTCTGCTGAGGACCTGAGACAAAAATGAGCTAAAATACGAAGTTTAATATTATATGCAAGTAGTCATATGTCAAGCTTTTGCATTAGGAAAGTTAACATAAACTTTCTGTACTACAACAAGAAATCTTTCTGAGCCAATCATGAAATGAAAATAATAATAGTTAGGATAGAATTACACTTATTTAAAAGGACACTAAGGTACAAAATGTCATGCCCACATAGAAATATTCTGCTTTTTCCATTAAAAAAAGAGAAACAGAGAGAAGTAGCAAATTTTGATAATGATGATATGTATCGATTACTTTTAGCTAGTTAGTTGTTTCTTAGATGGCTCTAAATGTTATCTTTAAATATGAAAATAAATATACATAATTAAGAATACATACATGAAAATAATTCCCCTAATTAATTTAATAACGTATGAAAATTTAATTTCATTAAATTTGAATTTCATCCAAATTTACAAAACTAAAAAAGGAATGGCCCTTAAAAGAGCTGTTTTTTTTAGCTGCTCAGCCATATACATTACGGAATATGAAAATAACAGAGAGAAGTAGCGAATTTTGATAATGATGATATGTATCGACTGCTTTTAGCTAGTTAGTTGTTTCTTAGATGGCTCTATGTGTTATCTTTAAATATGAAAATAAATATACATAATTAAGAATACATACATGAAAATAATTCTACTAATTAATTTAATAACGTATGCAAATTTCATCCAAATTTACAAAACTAAAAAAGGAATGGCCTTAAAAGGGCTGTTTTTTTTAGCTGTTCAGCCATATACACTACGGAATATGAAAATAAATATGAATAATTAAGAATACATAAATGAAAATTATTCAATTAATTTCATAACTCATTAATTTTTTTATACAGTGAAATTTAAATTTTGGTAGCTTCATATAATAAAAAATTTAATAGCTTTCATATTTGCATGTGTGATAAAATGGTGGCAAAAATAAAATCGATTAAAACAACCAGTATTCGTGGTGCGATCTAAAACACAAATAACTAAAAGCAGATCACATACTACATTGTTAGCAAATTTTTATATCAGAAGACAATTTATGTATTACAAACATATTAAAAATTATTTTTTTATTTCATATCAAAGGTAAAAATTTTAGAGAATCAGGAAATTTCAAGAAATAAAAATATTAAATTTTGACTAATAGTATTATTTTCTAGAATGCTAAATATTGTTAAGTAAATTATAAAATATAATAAAGATAAGCTTTTTTCAATTTAAAATTTAACAAACTTTTCTGGTGAGGCAAGGTTAATCAATTAGTTATGTTAAAGCACTCCACAGCTATCTATCCAAAGTGAAGAATGTCTTTACATTTGATTCTATAAAAGATACTGGCAAGCATTTATATGAAATGTAATTAAACAAGAAATCAACCAAAAAGCCTAATCTAAAGACAAGGAAATCAGGACAAAATTGCCAAGTTTCTGAAACAAGCATGAAACTCCAAGTGCATTTTGTTAATCGGTCAAGTGTTTAAAGGTAAGCTAGAATTATCATTTTCAGATAAAAATTTGTGGTGGAAAGTCGATTTGATATGATATACAGTCAAATCTTGCTATAATGAACTTCGAAAGACTGAAAATTTGGTTCGATGTATCAGATCCAATAAAAAAAAAAAAAAAAAAAAAAAAAGGATCACCTCACAAAATCGTGTAAAAATTAATTGATGAATCACATAGAAAGAGTGACTAGCGTTGTCACATCTTTCAAATGATGTAAATACCAGCTTTAATCTTTAAAAATATTAAAAGTTAATTACAATTATTATCCACAATTTTTAAATTTCTTTTTCATCATTTTTCAGTTTTACTATGCATGAATAATTCTAATATAATAATAAAAAAAAAAAGAGTACAAAAGTCATGACTTAGATCCGTCTCTCCAATTATACATTTCCACCTAAAATACAAATTTGCAATTATGAATAGGCATCAGACTTGAACAGACAACTATCTGACTCAAGTTCTTTGTCTCAATGGATCATTTGTTCTTTGCATGACACAGTAGGATTCTCTAAAGTATGTTTGTTGCCTGTCCAGGTTTTCCAAGATTTGTATGCTACATCTGTCTCACATTGGCTTTTGTTTAGAACACAGAGAAAGACAAAGGGGGAGAGATAAAAGAACAGTAACCTAAAAATGTTTTTCGTTATTTTAATACCCTAAACTCAGTGGTGTAACAGCCCTAATGGGCCAAGGCCTGAAATCTGCTTTCTTGACCGTGGACCCCAGGGTGTGTAAGCATATGCCCTGAACAAGTGGTCAGCTTGTCGCAGGACCCCCAGTGCTTAGTCCCCAAGTGAACTTGGTACTCATTTTATCAACCCAAATGATGGAAATCAAGGGATGAAAGGCTCGACCTTGCCCAGCCCGAGAATCTAACCCTGGACCTGTGTGCTGCTGCACAATGCGCTAGCCACTGCGCCACCGAGCCTCATTCTAATACCCTAAACAGGATTAATTAAAAGTTAGTAATTTTTAGTTGAAAGCTCCAGAAATTTTGGGGAAAAAATTGAAAAAGGAAAAACAATTTTCATTTCAAGATATCAACAAAGTTTCTTGTACCCAATTACGGTTTGTTGTACCCAACTACAGAGATAGTGAATGTGTATAAAATAACATAAAATCTATATAAAATTAGACAGGACCAATTATCATTTTCAGATAAAATTATATATTATTAATAATATTTAGAAGTTCATTTGTTATAAGGCAGGTTCACTACAGCATGATTGGAGTGCATCATGAAATTAAACAAATGTCACTCATTTTTTTACTTATTTAGTTATATATAATTAAAGCTATGTGAGATCTGTGTGTCAGAACTATGTACATTATTTTCAATTTAATTAAAATTTGCTTCGCCAAATATGGTTTAGTCAATAATAGAAAAGAAAAATACTATTCAATCAAGTTAAGTTGAAAAACAAGTCGCCTCTGTTTCCCTCCCCCCCAAATAAATAAATTTTTCTCACTTTCCCAAATAAATAAATTCAGATAGCTACATTAACTGATGCAATCATGTTAATTCAAATTTTTCACTGTACATAAATTATTACATATACACCAGCACCCACTAATACACCATCAAAAATACTACCTTTAATTCTGATTCCTGCAAGTATTTTCCAGCCTTAGAAACTATTTTGGATTTTTTTAGAAAGGTAAATTTTAATGTTCTTTCTTTCTCTCTAATTTTTCCTGGAACGATACTTGTTTCACTCGTGTTGTTTCCTAATGTATTTGGATTTTTGCATTTACTGATATAATTTACTACATTTCCTGATAAAGAGTAGAATCAATGCATTTTCTGCTGGCATAGAAATCCTGCCAAAAAGTCATGAATGTTCAAATTTTCTCACAATAAAATTGTACATGAAGGAAAATATACAATATAAATGCAATGTCATTAACATGTTAGAATAAGAATTGGAAATTGGTTTGAGAAAAGTTATCAAGTCTTCTTATTTCGTAGCATTCCAAAGGAAGGAAAAAAGAACCATGAAGCATACATGCCGATAATTCTCTAATATGATTTTCCATGCAAATGGCAAACTATACCTGCCAAAAGTAAGGGAGGAACCCTGTTTTATCAATAATTGATAACATATATTATTGCCCTGTGTAACAAAATTTTAATTGTGCTTATGTATTTAATTAACTGCTATTGTGGTTTTTATTTAACTGAAATTGTTTGTGCTTACTGTAATGGAAATTGATTTTTGTAAGTTAAAAGCTTTAGTTGGATTTATTTTCGGTGCTTAGATTTTTCTCAGGAAGAAGTAGGGAGTGTTTTTTTTTTTCAGAACACCTGGACAGAAACAGAGATCAAATTACTTAATCAGTGCTCTCCAAACGGATTCTCTTGGCAGGCTGTAAATAGGATTTACAGTGAGATAAAGCAATCTCAAATATCTGTTGCTATGGGAGGCTTCATTTACTAATTGTGAAAAAAAGAAATTGGCAGCTTTGCTTCATTTTCCCTTTGGAAGGTTGCCATTGATGGATAAATGGGTTTTTTAGAACGGAGAAGCACCTATTTTAGAATGGAATGACCTTATCTACATATTGTTCTCATAAGTCAGCAGAGTCAAATTTCTGTTTCTCACATGTTTGGGCGACTCTTTCTGCGGGCGTCAACAGTCATTGTAGCAGTAGTTGTGTTTATATTCATTTGAGGAGACTAAAAATAATAAATGAAGAAAATGAAAACATTCATCCCGTTGGTCAAACATAATTTTATGTTTATCTTTCAGCCTGTAGAATTTTGGTGAACGAAGACACTGAGATTTCTTCGAGGCTTGTGGGGAAATGTCATATAAAAATTTTCCAAGATACATAATACTCGTGAAATAATCAAAAGAAAAAGCAGCAATATTTTACACATTGAAATGTTATGGTTTGGATAATTACCTTTCCGTCCACCCTAATGATCCTCTTTCCGGATGTTGTACCATGTTCAAACTCTACTTGGTGCTTTTTACCATTTAACACAACTTCCCACACACCAACAATCTGAGACATCTTGGATTTTCAGAAACTGAAAAGAAAAGCAAAATATCATTATTACTAATAAGCACTATGACAGTACTTAATTTTTCAAAAAAAAAATAGACTTGAGAAGTATTTAATTTCTAAATAAAAAATATAGTAAATAAATATATAATTATTTGTATGGTATTTAATTTCTCATTGCTGAACTATATATATATATATATATATATATATATATATATTTTTTTTTTTTTTTTTTTTTTTTTTTTAACTTAAAATCAGTATTATCGCAACCACCCGGTTGGTGGATTTTATGGAAAAAAAACGAACAAGTACTTTTATTATAAAAAAATTATACATCACATATATATTCTATGTTTCAACTATATATTCATTCAAAAAGACACTCAATAAACTAGTTACAAATGGGTTTTTGTTGTGGTGGAAATTCGCTTTGAGAACGAATTCGAAGCACCGTCCTTATAGCGTCTTTGCAGCAAAATAATGTATTCCTGCAGAAATTTCACCTCTCTTTCTTACAGATATTATAGTAAAATCCTATAAACACAAATTTTAAAAGTGAGTTTAAGAAAAAAATAATCATACTTTTTCTATAAAAGCCATTGGAACTTGGAATACAGAAAAAACAATGCATACTAAAATGGACACTTTGAAAACTGAATCTTTGTCGTTATGTACATTATTACCACAGTTTCGTTAATTTGGCTTTGGTGATTTCTACTAGGGTGGTTGCAGGAATACATAAGTATCTTTTTTCTATCTAATTTTTAATACATTATAACAAATTTTAACACTTGAACAGAGTTATTGGCATAATTTTTCATTCAAAAATACTCATTTTATATTATTACAGATTTCATTTTACATCTTTCCCTCACAGCCTTCTTCTTCTTCATAAGTTCCACAGCCTATTACAGGCCAAGGCTGTCTCTCCAAGTTCAGATGCCTTCATGATTCTCGCAATACCAGTTTCACCATATTTCCTATATAGTTGATGATTATAGAGAATCCTCCACATGCCATTTTGTTGTACCAGTCCAAAGATCTTTCTTATGAATTTTTTTTTCAAAAGTTGATATCCTTCTTTGCTCTGTTAAGTATCCAACATTCACTTCTATAAAGGGCAACAAGCCTTATTAAAGTTTTATATGAATTAAATTTAGTTTTTATGTTTATTAGTTTGGATTTAAGTTATTTTTTAAGGCTGTACTAACATCTATTCGCCATAAATATTCTATTTTTTATTTCAATTTTTATATCATTACAACTTGTGATCAATAAGCGCGTATATTTAAATTGTTGGCTAATCTTTGAAATATGGTAACAGGTAGTTTGGCGACATTTTGGTAAGGCGATAAAGGTTACTAGCTAGGACTTTAGCAGTGTACATGAATAAAGTCAAGAGTGTGCGCAATGCCATTTTTGTGCAATTCTGAGATGTTTTTTTAAGTGAAAATAGGTCGACGTGTACATGGATATTGTGTATGTGCAATTCTTAAAAACACGGTAAGCAGTTTGCGATTCTACACTTTCTCCCAATTTCGCACCTAATCTTCGTCACGAGTAAGCATTTTTGTTCCATAAAAGTTCTAGCATAAGCATAATTCAGCTAGAAGAGTGTTGGAAAAAAATGTTGAGTAAAAAAAAAAAACATGCCTTTACTTCGTGAAAACAAAATGACGTCCAAACAAAAAGTAGCAGGTTGCTGTAGCAGGGTTGGTCGCCTAATTTTCGCCAAAAAATCGCCGAGTTAACATAATACAAAGATTAACCAAATTGTTTTGTCCATGGCCAGATGATTGGGCATCTTGGCACTCATGCAAAAAAAGAAATTTCTGAATATAGTAAATCAATCTTGGAGTCTAGGACGCCTTCCTAAAGAGTGGAAAAGAGCCACAATTATACCTGTTGAGAAACCTGGACAAACCAATGGATCTCCTGTGAACTTTAGACCCATTGCCCTAACCAGCATTGCATGTAAAGTCATGGAAAAAATTATCATGGGGCGGTTTCTCTTTCACCTGGACACCCACGACCTCCTACCAAAAGAACAATATGGTTTCAGAAGAGGTCATAGCACCACTGATCAATTGGTCTATCTCAGCTAGAAGATTAGAGATGCCCAAAACAAGCGACCTACCAATCATACTGTGGCTGCTTTTCTAGACTTGTGAAAGGCGTTTGACTGTGTCTGGAAACATAAACTAATAGTTAAACTCTATGAAGATTTTGGCATCAGGGGTAAAGCCTTGATCTGAATCACAGATTTCTTAAGAAATAGACTGATAAAAGTAAAGCTTAATTCCATTATGTCAAACGCCTTTAAATTCAGCCAAGGCGTCCCCCAGGTTTCTGTGTTGAGCCCAATTCTTTCTGCCTGTATTTGGCTGGAATTGAGAAGATTATATCAAGGAGATGTGAGGTTGGTTTATTTGCGAATGATATTGCCCTTTGGAGCTCTGGCCCAGATGTGAGTTCAATGGAGACCAATATAAATTTTATCCTTGAAGATGTGTGGAAATTCTCGAAAGACCACAAATTGAGTTTTAATCCAACTAAATCTATTTTTAGTTTTTTTAACACCAATAAGAAGATTTATAATTATCATCCAAAAGTTTTTATGAATAATTTGCCTCTTACATATGACAAACATCCAAATTTTTGGGCTTCGTTCTCGATCCAGAGATCAGTAGTAACAAACATGTGGATGCACTGGTTTTTTATGGCAGAAAATGCCTAAACATTCTGAAGTATATCTCGGGACGTGATTGGGGAGCCGATGCTTGCACTTTGAAAACTACTTACTCAGCTATCATACGACCTATTTTGGAATACGGTTTACCCGTTTACTGTTGTGCCTCTTCCACCAACTTCCAGAAATTGGAAAGAGTCCAACTCAGTGCTTCTTGTATTATAACTGGCTTGCGCAACAGTTGCCCGAATAAAATTGTGTTGTATGAAAAGTCTAAGGGGTTGAGAGAACCTTCAACCCCTTCAGTCTAAGAAGAAATGCAGGCCTCATAAAATATTATAATAAACTTCTCAGTTACGGCTCCCAGAATAGAACTTCAAAATTTCTGCAGCACTGAAGTAATAACAAAGACTTAAGAAAAATAGTTCACTTTGTCAATTTAGAGGTATGCTGGTTATAATTGACCGTAATGTTGAGCAACATTCCTTGAAACAATATTTAGATCCATCTGAAGGACTCCCTGGAGTCGGGTTCCATGCGGAACTTTAGTCTCGAGTTTCCAAGAAAAATGATATTCCGGCCCTGTTACGACAATCTGCCTTGGAAACTATACATGCAATCCCCGCTGAAGCTACCCTCATCTATACTGATGGGAGTAAAAGTGAGGACTCTCGCTCCGGTAGTGGTGTCATTAAATGCACAAATGGAAATATCGTTAAAATAAAGAAAAGAAATTCTGACTTCAGTTTGGTTTTTAAGAGTGAGCTTATAGCCATCGAAGAGGGACTAAATGCTGTTTTGTACTTTACAGATCTTAAGGAAATATAGATTTTGTCTGACAGTCGTAGCACTATCAAATATCTTTCAAACTGGCAAAGAGTTTGTGATAGGCCCGGAGCTGCAATTCTTAGCAAACTTAGGCAGGTCTCATTACTCTGTGAAGTGCATCTTCAGAGGATTCCTTCCCATGTTGATATATGGGTAATGAAATGGCAGACATTCTGGCAAAGGAGGCATCTGAAGAACCTTTGCCAATTATCAATTCACTGACATATCTTGAACTGCATTCCATTAGAAGACATGCTAATTTGGCTCGTTCCCCCGAGTCATCCCTGGTATCAAGCTTATTGTCCTGGAAAATCCCTTGCTATGGATTGCGAAAGACAAAAATTTCTGAAAATCATCAATTTCACTATAGCTAAAAATTAAATTTATTTTGGTTAAAGTTGACTTTAGGGTACCCCTTGTATTATCGCGAATTTGTTGTTTCATTTATCGCCAAGCTGTTGTTTTATTTATGGTAACCTGAGCAGTTGAATGTTATTGAAACCCTATTATGATGTAATCATTTGCATTATTCTGGGAAATTTTGAATCATGGCATGTTTTGTAAGGGCTTTTGTGATGTGTGTTGTTTAAGAAGTACATTGCTTGTTTCATTATTTAGACAGCAGAATGCTGAGTGTAGTTAAATTAATTTGAAGTTTCTGTACGATTTGGAATGAAAGGGAAAAAGTGCATTAATTGACTGGTGTGTAAATGAAGGTTTACTTAGTAGCCATTTTTCCGGACTTTGTGAATTTATGTGGCGACGACGATATACGGATTCTAGTTCAGATAATTTTAGGAAGTTTTTGGATGTCATTAAGGAATTTTGCGTGCCACAGATTGAAGATGAAAGAATTTCTAAATAAGGTAAGTGGATATTTGCTTTGTGTAGTGCTTAAATGCATAACAGGTTTTTCCTTTTTTATGTTATTTTATTGTTTGGTTTAAAATGTAGTTAATTGAGATTATGTATTTTTTGTTTGCCTCTACTGTAGAATTGGGTGCTCCTTTGAGTTTTTTAGTGAAAATATATTGATGTGTACATAGACAAACTCGAGGAAATGTGCAAAACCTAGTTTGTGCAATTCTCTGATTTTTTTTTTTTTTTTAAGTGAAACTAGGTCGATGTGCACATGGATACCAAGTTTGTGCAATTTTTCGTCTTGTTATTTCGGCTTTGTGTAGGGCCAATTTTTGGTGCAAAAATAACAAGTCAAAGAATTGCACAAACTCGGTATCCATGTACCACCAAAAATCGCCAATGGACCCTTAAATATACTTTTATCATTTATTTCTAAAGAAATATAGTGCTAATAACATTTAAAATTCTTTAATTTAACAGTTTAAAATTCGATATACTTAGAACAAAACACATTAAAATACAATAAACATTTCAAATTAAATTACACGAAGATTTCTGAAATACGTTTTATTTTAATAAAATGAAATATGATCTTCGCGTGTAAACAAAAAGAACTGCGTAATTCATTCCAAATACCTTCCCCTCATCTAAGCACATTTCTTTTCATCAGTTGTAAGAAATAAAATGTTCCAACTATGAAGGCATTCACGGAAGTCTGTTGTCATGGTCACCCTTGCCTATGTGAAATAAGGTTAATGGATATATCAAGTTCACAAAGTTACGCTTGGGTGATGCTGCATATTAAATAAATATCAAATAAAGCAACTTTATACATTTCTCATACTCACATACAAATCGTGACAATAAAACAGAGCACTCTAAAAGATGCTTAATAGGTCAGTTTATACCATTCCGGTCTTCACAAACGAACTTGAATTCAAAACAATGTATCGTTGCCAGACAATAAACAATGTAAAAAAATGTGTCTGGAAAATAAAAAAATAAAATAAAATAAAGCTAGCACTTTTTTCTGTCTTAATTGATTTTTTTAAACTTTTTTTCGGTGAAAGACGGCTAAAACATTTTAAAACTAAACAGATTTCGTGGTTTAAAGATTGGCCTTGATGACCTTTGGCTCTGGACATGGCAAGGACGCGCATTTCCAAACCCTACCAAACCCTGTCGCCGCTTTTTCGGATGGCCCAGACTTTCCTTTTCCCATCGATGACGAATAGTTCGATACTTTGTTTACGGTTTATGTGGAATTGTGGTAAGATTGTATATGGAAAAACTTGCGGAATTGATAAAGACCACTCTTCATATTTATTTTTTTTTTTTCTTGCTGTATACGAGAGTGGACGCAATATGAATAAATCTCTATGCTACAGTCAATTATTTCTATTATTCGAATTAATTCATCTTGAGAACTTTAAAAGTCTTAATAAACAAAAACTTACTCATATTGCTGATACAAAAGTATTGATATGCTTTGTTCAATTCTTTGTTAACCCCTTAACTGCCGCGGGCGTATATATACGCCTTGCTCAGCCGATGCGTTAACTGCCCCGGGCGTATATATACGCCCTTACAAAATACTATCAGTTGCTTTGCGCTGCTACCCGTTAAACTATTCGCAAACTTTTGGAATGCAACACCAGAATGACCTTGACGAAGTATGTGAAGGAGGATATTATTTCAGAGAAGTGTGGGGAGAAATTGGAGAGAGGGATGTGTCTAAAGTGCTGAAAGTGATGATTGCGTGGTATTGGCTAGTGTGTTTGAGTTTGAGTAAAACGTATTTTTTTTATTCTGTGTCCTCCGTTTTCGTTTACTTTTTGTAGTAGGTTCCAGGAATAAAGAAAGATATAACGGATGTTTCAAACCCATTTATCTTTCTTAAAATATTTTTTGATGAACTGCTCGTGCTTTATATTGCTACTGAAACTAACCGTTTTGTAGACGAGTATATGAACCAACAACACCTTACAAACGAAAAATCAAGAACAATATCGTGGCATTCAACCAATTCAGAAGAAATATATGTTTTTATAGGCATACTGATTTTACAAGGTATATAACACTGAAACATGATATTACACTTTACTGGTCTAAAAATGAATTGATCGACACCCATTATAGAGACTTTTTTTATTATAAAAACATCCTTTTAATTATACTTACATCTTTTTATTATATTGTTACTCAAAATATTAAATTTTGTGCATGCATTTTTTTTCTTTTACTGTTTATTTTGTGAAAATAAACAATTTTTAGAAAGTAAAACTTGCTCTTACTTTCCCCCTAATAAATCGCATAACTACGCGCGGATATGTGAAAAACCGTGGCACTGGGGAATGAATCTTGTACGTTTTCCGCGGCAGTTAAGGGGTTAATAAAAAACAGCAATTGTGCATGTAATGACAGTAAAAAATAGTGAAAATTTATATATGTCTGTATTGTTGCCTAAGTAGTAATAATGCATGGTTATAAAATAAATATTAGAATCTACTGAAGTAATAATTACATATGTTAGAACACAAGAAAAGAATCTGAATTTTTATTTATTTTAGTGACCCGTATTTTTTTTTTTTTTTTTAATTATGTTCACAGAGTTCTTTTTTAAGTTTCCCCAAACAGCAGAGATGCGTGACCTAAATTTTGTACTGAACAACACACAAAATTATGTTCAAAGAAAAAAATTAATAAATTCTGCATTGCCTACGATTGCTAGTTAAAAAAAAAAAAAAATCATGTTTTCCATTTCTCCACATCGAAAAATTATACGGGGGGGGGGGGGGGAGACACCACTTCATTTGGCATTTGATGTTTTATATCAATAAAAATCCCATGGTTTTAACCATTGATTCTAATTTTAATCCTTCTTCATTGTTAGCTTTTAAGGAAATTTGCTTCTTATTTGCATTTTAGTCTCTTTCTGTCAATAGTGGTATTAAGGATTTGGTTTTTATCATTTAACCATACTCTCCAGTTTCTTTCTGTTTCTTTCTGTTGCTTCTCTTTCCTTACACCCAGTGTGCATGCTGTGCTGAATGCATTATTTCAGATTCAAAATGTATAGATAGAAAACTGTACCAGGACGACAAAAGTAGTAATTTAACAACATTGGCATCAATTATCCGGCTCCCTAAGACAACAACTTCCGTAGAAATATTTTTATAGCAGCTGTGTCTGGCTGTCTTACATATGGTTCACTGTATTTTGTGATTTAAAATTTATTAGCTCGTTATAATACTGATGCAATTTAAAGTTTTTTCTTAGTTCAAACAACCCATGTTATGGATCAAAAAGTAGTATCTTATGATTATTAGTCATATTATTAAAAATTTCAAAATGGCTTTTGGAAATTTTCTTCCTTACGCAATGATTTGTAGTTTGGCAAAAAATCTTTCACAAGTTGGTCTTACTATGGGCAAGTATTGAATTTTGTTTCCGAAACGATAACCAGTAATTTTGTTTAGAGTTAAAAATCATTTCTATGGTATATGTAAATCTTTTTAGTTTTTAATATATTTCAAAAGTTCCTTTTCTTATGCCATAAGGCATGTGTAAAATAAGCTTATTTCCTTGCATTATTATTATTAAACCATTCAGAAGAAGCCTTTCTGATAATTGATCACTGAAACTTACTTTTCTGTTGCCGTACCTTTCTGTTAATTAGAAAATAATTTTGGATAATAAAAAATAAATGTATTAGAAAAGTATTATATTATTAAAATATTTTTAAAAATATATTAAATTAATGTATTAGAAATCTCTGTAATTTAAAGCAAGCTTTCGTTCTTCAACTACATGTCCATTTCCGATACCCAAAGGCTAATTCCATCATAATAACTTATCTTTTACCCGGTCATTATTCAGTGAAACCTTTCTATTTGAAAATTCTGTGATCATCCTTTGTAATAAAGGCCCAAGATACAACCTCCACCACCTGCGAAATGCATGGCTTTTTTTGTACAGTATCTCTGTGGCTGTTACTGGAAGGCACTAAGTAGTATGTTCAAGCACTAAATAGGCTTTGTTATTTAGTGTGTGATTTACTTTTGTGTATGTGTATTTGATAGTATGTACATATATATATATATATATATTTGCTACCATTGGAAATAAAAATATATGCATTACAAATCTGAGTTATTAAGCACATTAAAGGCTATTTACACCTTTCATTCCAAAACAGATATTCAAATTAAATACATTAGGCAATTTGTGTTTATCTACATTGTTTCAATAATAATGTTTTTGTTGGCATTAATTTCTCCAAGTAATTTAAACTTGAGGTTGTTTAAGGCGATTTTTTATCTATTCATTTATTGAAATATTTACATTTATTACTTCTTATATATTAATATTTACATTTATTACTCCCCCCCCCATTAGATAATCCAAGAATTTTATGTACCTTATAATTTATGGTATAGGCTTGTATATATGCAATATGAATTTTTTTTTTTTTAATTTTCCAGAAGAAAAAAAATTCTTATCTTCTACTTGTTATCTCATTATCAGATTGTTTTATAAGGTATTTCTCCTGCCTTTGTAGCATGCGTCGGCACATATTCGAGAGGTCCATGGTTCTAGTCACGGAGAGGGCATTGCTCGTTTTTCACATCTCTCAGCTTCCAAAAAAATCCTAATGTCTTCTTCAAAATAAACAAATAATCTGATGGAATGAAAATACTTTGGTCATTCAAACTTTTTAATCACTGCTGTTTACATCTACATTTCTTTTTTCACATAATTTGAAGTTTTCAAGTAGTTTGAAGGTTTTCAAACTAAGTTTCAGAGAAATTTTAGATATCGTGCAACTCCTCTGGGGCATCTTCAAGTTAAAATCAAAATTTAAAACTATTTTTAATATCACTGGACATGCAATAGAATAAAAATATTTCTTTAAGTTTTTGTTACAAAAAATATTAAGCAGATCTGTTTTTATGATTAACATTATAATGAAATAATGATTTTCTTTTCACTTTCTGCATAAAATGCACAAATTTTGTATTTCAATTCTTTTTTAACATTTATTTTTTTGAGGATGGAAATGCTTCTCTCTAAAAAATTACAATTTTAGAGTTTTTTCTGAATTTACAGATTTGAAGACAGTTGGATAGAAAAGCCACAATTTTTTAAATGGAGGAATAAATACAGCCCTGGCTTTTGTTATGTTTTATGCATTTAATAAATTTCCGCCCGACTGTTTATTAATTCTACCTAACACAATTAATCGATACTTGTTTCTAATATAGAATTTTAGCATCAATTCTACATAATAACATGAGTAATCTTTTTTTAATTGAAATTTTATCAATATTAACAAAATACTTTGGCACTATGAACTGAGAATTTTTTCCTTGACTTTTATCTTTCAATACTTTAGGAACTGGTCATTGATTTACATCTATAATAAAAGAAATAAATGCTTGTATGAGTTTTAACATATTGTTAAAAATGCAATAAACTTCAGCTCCTTTGTTGCATGAATAATGTTAAACTCCCTGTTAAGTATTTTTTTAGCATCTTCTATGTAACAGTATAGACTCCATGATTATTCCTTAAAATTGGAAGTATCAGAAATAGATGTAAATATGTATTGTCTTCTGCATTAACTTACAAAAATAAAAGTGTGAATATCTGAATGGAATTATATAGAAAGAGCTACAGGACGCTATGTTGTCATGATGGTCATGGTCATTCCACTATACAGGAAATATCAAATCAAACAAAAGTGCAGGAAAAGATTCAGTAAGAGTATATACTCTTTTCTGAAACAATACATTTGGCTGTAGTTGTTCCATATGATATTCCTATAGAATATCCCAAAATCTTGGTAAATAACTTTCTAAACCAAGATTACAGTGTAAAAAATGTTATAGTCATGTAACTGGGCTACCATACATAAAAATTAAGCAGTGTTACAAGTGTTTTTATCTTAACTGCCTGTTACAACCAAATAACAAGCTATGAGAAAGAACATGCAGTGTCAGTACAGCTGGATGATCCCTTTTACAGAGTTGCTAATTTGAAAACAAGTTAACCTGTAAAACTACCCTTCATACTGGTTTGCTTTAGATTCATTTGGTAACAAATATGCCATTAAAGTCTGTACCAATCAATCAATAAACC